TCTTATTCCCGAGTGAGCGTACATTAGAAAGGAAGATCCCAGGAAGAGCAGTTCGCAGTTCGCGTCTCCTCAGACACACGAGTGCGCCGGCTCGCTTACCTCTCTTTCGACGTCTCACTTTCCTGATCAGAGTCTGCAGTAAATCTGCCGCAGATGCGACAAATATTGGGAATAAATCCACAGGCGTTGTAGTCCTGCAGTTAAGGAGCTCTTCTCTGGTGTAAGAGTATCCAGAGGAGTGCCCAGACACAGAAGAAATGCACAAAAATAAAACAAAAGTGACGCACTGAAGCACCAGGGCATCCATACGCGGCGCCATCTTGGTTTCGATATTTACAGTGTAAACTACGTGTAAATAAAAGAGTTGGAGCAACAAGCTGACGGACACGTAGCTCTGGGTTTGTTTTGTTTTGTTTTTGTGATTCTTGCGTGGTCTGGGCCTGGTGTGAATTTGATTGGACATCCGCTCCTGGGAAGATTGTGTTTGTATTAGCACACACCCTGATGCTCTAGACCAGCATACGTCCAAATCTTCTGCTTTTGTCGAGGAGCTCACACTTTCTGGTCATCACTTAATCACGCACATTTGATTAGCAGCACCTGGTTGCTACTTGTTCTCTTACTTCCTAAGTAAAAGTGGACTTTTCCATAGTTTTAGACTGGAGAGGTTTCCTTTTTAAGGCTGCAGAGACAATCAGGAAGCAGCATCATATCATTGGAAACATAAAGGTCATAAGCAGTGTGCATATGAACCCACTGAAGAAATGTGTTTTACACAGGAAAGCTTACCTGGACGCAACTTCACCTTCTGGCAGTGGTTTGATGGAGTAGTAGAGCTTATGAAGAAACACCTGAAGCCTCACTGGAATGATGGGTAATCACTTTTATTTATGTTCCTTCTGCGAGAATCTGGAATGAAGATTTGTCTTGTATGATAGATTGAAAAATGATCTCGACTGTCAGCTTTAAACGAGCTTTGTGCTGTAGCAGAGCTGGTGGGGTGGGGGCAGCACTGTGCACTTGTGACAGTGCACCGGTGGTGTTTTAGTGTGTAACTGTGTGTGTCTGCAGGGCCATTCTGGGCTTTGTAAACAAGCAGCAGGCACAGGACATGCTGATGTCCAAACCCAACGGCACTTTCCTGCTGCGGTTCAGCGACTCTGAGATTGGAGGCATCACCATCGCCTGGGTGGCAGAAAACCCCAACAAATCAGGTACGCAGTGGCTCTGCTTTCTGGCTCTGTTACATATACAATGCACTGCTGCCACACAAAACACACTTTCAAAAAGTCCACATGAAGCTTTTGCTCTGCTGGAGACACAGGTTGATCTTCTTCTGTCAGTCACAGCCTGTGAACTTGTCCTTGAGTGACATGTCCACACAGAAACACTCAGCGTGGCACAAAGCCCACTGATGATTACGAGACGCTGTCTCTGCGTCCGTCCTTTTGCATGCGATCACTGCAATCCTCGGTTCTTTTGTGTAGGTGAGAGGCTGGTCTGGAATCTGCTGCCTTACACAACCAAGGACTTCTCTATTCGCTCGCTGGCTGACCGCATCAGTGACCTGAACCATCTCCTGTATCTGTATCCTGACCGGCCCAAAGACGAAGTCTTCGCCAAGTACTACACCCCCCCACTTTGTATGTGTCAGCTCATTTTTAACATCGACACTTCACTGTTACCATAACACATATCTACTGTTTTATTTTATCTTTTGTTTTGTTCTTACCAGCAAAAGCAGTTGATGGATATGTGAAACCACAGATCAAACAAGTCGTGCCAGAGTAAGTGTCTCTGTGTCAAACTGCCACAGGAAATCTGCTACCTTTGTGTCAGTTTGTCACTCCCACATGTGAAGCTTTGTATCTGCACCTTTTGTTTTCCTTATTTTTGTTGAGCAGGATTAAAATTTCAAGCAGAAAACGCTACGACCCAGCAGAGTATTTCTGTGTTAGTCATAACTTTACTAGCAGCTATAAAGATCGCTAACACTATAATTTAATGTAAAACTAATCTTCTTAAACGTTCCTTTAATGCATTACGTTACTTAACTAGGTTTAAATATAAGTTATAGTTCTGCACAGTGATAGTTATGACATCATGTCTCCGTTTTCCTCACCTGCCTCCTCGCTCACTGACACCTCCGTGTTATTCCTGCCTACCTGAGGCTCTAACACATGAAACCGTGCAGAAACATCTTCATACCGTTACCGTTACTTGTTGTTAATTACCTCCAGTTTAGACATGTGGCCCTGCTGTTGCTGGGCAGCTGGCAACGAGACACTGATTACATTCACCTCGTATGAGAGTTTGTTGTTTAAGTGTCCAAGCCAAACAATGTTAGATCAAAAAAAGTTGCATTAACGGCAAAATGTGACCTTAGAGCACGGTTGTCATGTTCAACAGGAGCAAGAACAGCAACACCTGAAGTTCAGGATTTCCTCAGCAGCTCACCTCAGTATCAAACTTCTTACATTAACAGCGTCCACCACAGTAAATAGGATATATGCTGACAGCTGACTGACAGCCTGCACTCACTACAGGTGAACAGCAGCTACAGTAGCTGGATTGTAGTCTGCTGACATCTAGTGGTGAAAATGTACACTGCACCAGTAACATCACTGGTTTCCTAGCTTGGCGTTAGCTCGCTGGCTGGGAAGGTGGTGGAAGAGAGTTGATGTGCAGCAGCTGTTTCTTAACCATGTTGTTCTCTCTCCGTTCTCCACTCGCTCTTTTTTTGCAGTCAAAATAAGAATAATGTTGATATCTGCACTCAAAACTTATAAACACTCAACTCAATATTATCTGAATATTAACCTGAATATAAATATATTAGTAATATAAATAAAAATGAATATCATTGTAAAATGTGCTCTTTTAGTAATGCTGCCGTAGGCTAAAGTGAAGTGTGGCATGTCTCTGATAGATTCACCACCCCGAACCCTGAACCCAGTGCAGGAGCTACTGCATTCATGGACCAGACTGCTTCTCCCTCTGTGACCCACCCCAACAACTTCAACGTCTACCCTCCCATGTAAGCAGCTTTCTTTTTGCACGTGTGCATATGTTTAATAAAACTCTTATAAACATGTGAAAACACAAAATTAGTCAGAATGCCTTTGACATTTGTGCAGTAGTACTTCATAACCTTCATAAATCCAGGAAACGTTTTGTTTTTAAGTCAGATTCACCAACAACACTGAGGTTTGGCAGCACAGCATGTACACATGATCATTGCTTCATGCAACAAAATTCTGTGGTTAAAATCATCATGCTGATATTTAAAACAATAATATTTATAATAGATATGTAATGGATATATTATACATGATCAATTTTGGCATTCAGTAAATGCATCAGGGGAAAGCTGGTGCTCAGTATCATGTCCAAAGATATTGCAACATGCAGACTGGAGCAGCCTGGGATTGAACCAACAACCTGTGTGGCAGAACCAGGCTCCGGGAGGAGCGCCATCTGCAGGAAGACGGGAGAAAGACACGCTGTGGAAAAGAGCCAGTGATTAATAATGGTGATGATTAAACGCAGAGTGGCATGTAACCACGTAGTGAGTGAAAAAGGTGACTGAAGAAGAAACAGCCTACGCATAATGCAGCATAACTCAGGCAGGAGTGGAAACTGGAAGCTGGTTCCACAGAAGAGGGGCCTGAAAACTGAAGGCTCTGCCTCCCATTCTACTTTTAAATACTCTAGGAACAACAAGTAGGCCTGCAGAGCGAGAGCGAAGTGCTCTAATAGGGTGATATGGTACTACAAGGTCATTAAGATAAGATGGGGCCTGATTATTTAAGACCTTGTATGTGAGGAGCAGGATTTGAATTCTGGATTTAACAGGAAGCCAAAACAGGAGAAATCTGCTCTCTTTCTAGTCCCTGTCAGGACTCTTGCTGCAGCATTTTGGATTAGCTGAAGGCTTTTCAGGGAGTTTTTAGGACATCCTGATAATAATGAATTACAGGCTGCAGCCTAGTCCAGACAGTTTGTAAACAATGCAAACTATCAATACTGGTTTTGGGTGTCTTTGTTGTCACTGCTTCATTCAGGAATGTAAACCATCCATGATGATGCTATAAGATTGTTTTCCATTGACCATCTTCGCTGCTGTCCTGTCAGGGCTGACGGCATGTTGGATCCCGATGGGGACTTTGATCTCGAGGACACCATGGATGTGGCTCGTCATGTGGAGGAGCTGCTCCGCAGGCCTATGGCCAACCAGTGGAACAGCCAGCAGTCCTAAACCAGACACCCGCACCTGCGGCACACCCCGAGGTCATCTCCATCTGGAAACACTCACGCCTGCAAAACCACCTGGACTGCAACCAGGGCAAGTCGGGCAGATCTGCGTCACATTTTGTTATTCAGGTTTCTCTTTAGCTGTGTCCAAAATGAGAATACACCTGGTGTCGAATCCTTGTCTACTCGCCCAAGACTTTTTAAAGAAGTAAAGTCAATGTTACTGCCATTCAACAAGCTTTAGATCCTCTCCTGCTTCCTGTAGTTTCTCACTGCTGCTGTCTGGAGGCAGTTTGCTTCAGTTGGATTTTTATTAAAGACTGAGACGAGTCGTTCTCAGCAGAAGCTTTGCCTTTGTATGCGCCCGCTGAGCATCAGGAGACGTGCACGACACAGATAACACACAGCTTAAGTCCCTTTCAGACACGCACTCACTTTTCTGTTGCATTGTGATGTTAAGGGCCGGCTCATTTACAGTAACGTCTGAATGCACACGGGCACAGCTGGAGGAATGACTCTGTGTCCTGGACCTGTTTGTTGTTGCTCGCCTGTTTCTATTTTACAGTATGATTAGACTGATGCATTTCCCAATCAGGAAGTCTGAAGCTGTCTCACACACTGATCTCACTGTGGAGAAGTTCAGCTACACCTCACTGCGTGTCTGAAAGGGCCTTAATATCACTGTGAGGAGCTCTCTCTCCCAGTACACAGGCAGTACTGGTTACTGTGACGCATAGTTAACAAATGTATTCTTTTCTGTATTACAGAGATGATTTTCTTTATTATTGTCAAGAAAAATGAGAAGATTTCCAATCAAGACTTAAAGAAAGACGATGTAACTTATTCCAAATCTTGAGTAATAGCTTAAAGTAGAAAGGGACAGCCAGAAGGAAACAAACTTGTCTCCTAGTAAGGTACCTATTTATAATTAGCTCCTGAGCTTAGCTGTGGCCTAAGCTTGAGGACAGGTTTACCCTCCTAGGACCTGCCGTCCACATATGTGGACATCACATTTTGGGTTATCTAGACCAAAATATTGAATTGTGCTGTACAGGAGCCTGATATCTACTCACGAGGACATTATACTGCTACTAATCTATCAACATTTTAAACGAATATCCTCATATGTGGCTCTCATGTTTCTTAAAAACAAAAATAAGGTAAAAAAAAAAGAAATTTGGTAATTCTTTGGGGCCCGATCAATGTAAAAACAATGTGACCAAATATCAAAGAGAAATTAAAAATGCTGCTGTGGAAGAGTTCGGGTCTCAGGAGGCTAAAGCTCCCTGTTGGCTCAGTGTGAGCCAGCGTCTGTGGGCCGCAGCTGTTTCAGTGTTTGGTTGAACCTGCAACAGCTGCTGTTTCTGTAACATGCTACACACCTGAGAGCAGCTGCAGACTGAACGTTAGTAAAGTGACCCTGTAGTGTGGGGTAGTTGTGGGGCTTGCTGGCACCGACTCTAAATTGTGAATGTCGATTGGCTAACACGGCGGTTTGTTGCATCTCTTCCCTCAGAGGTTACTTGGTCTTCCTCGAAGTCCTGACAATAAACTGTAAGAGGCGTGTTTAAAACATTTCTACCAATTCATCTGTTTCTCTGTGACGACGTTGAACCGAGCTGCCTTACAGCACAGCGCACTTAGGTGCTATCACTATAACTGCTCACTGCTTTGAATTTTGTTGTTTGTCTTCTCTCAGATGGAGTTTTATATTATAGCAATGAGATGAACACAGACAGATTTTATTTTTTATGATATTTTGTTGTTGTTTTAAATGTACAGAGTGGCCTGAGACTCCTGAGAACTTTAATGCCATTTGAATAAGAAACAGTTTGTTTACCCAAAGCTCTTCAACAGTGCAAATTCATTTGTGGTAATTTCCACTTTCATTCATATTTAAAGGGTGATAACAATTACTTTCCAAAACATCTTGTTAGCATCTCCACACCTCCAGGCTGGTGGATTTAATGACAGGACACTAGTCCAGCCTGCAGGCGGGGTTCATGTTTGGGATGCAGGTTCGGGCCATCAAGGCTTTAAAGCAGCCACATGTGTTTCACAAAGTGAGCGAATAGCAGCGAGTCTTTCGTGTGGACTGGATGTGTCTCTGTTTCACTTTGTGCCTCCTCATCTGCTCAGCTTGACTTTCATCAAAAGTACACCTGGCATGTATGTTAAACGATCGTGGGCGATCGTGGCTCAAGAGTTGGGCGTTCGTCTTGTAATCGGAAGGTTGCCGGTTTGAGCCCCGGCTCCGACAGTCTCGGTCGTTGTGTCCTTGGACAATACAGCCGTTGTCTACTGGTGGTGGTCAGAGGGCCCGGTGACGCCAGTGTCCGGCAGCCTCGCCTCTGTCAGCGCCCCAGGGTGGCTGTGGCTACAATGTAGCTGCCATCACCAGTGTGTGAATGTGTGTGTGGATGGGTGGATGATTGTGTATAGTGTAAAGCGCTTTGGGGTCCTTAGGACCAAGTAAAGCTTGCTTTACTTGGGGTCCTTGGGCAGACCCGGGTGCTGTGGGTTTGTTCCAGTTCCTTACTTATATGATATGATCACAAGTTTACAAACCTGGGGTCAACCATCCAAAGCAACGCACGGTGCACAAGAGAAATGAAGACGGTGGAGATTTGTGACAGAAGGAGAGCAGCGAGAGTGAAACAAGGTTTACCAGATGGAAGTGAGAGACTGTGGCACTGATGCAAATACAGGAGGCTCGCCCGAAGATGCTGAAATTTACACATGTTGGTTTGCTTTTTTTTTTTTT